ATACACTAACAAGTGGTTATGGTTCAGTGGGATGATTTTATGTAAAGTGGAACATTTAAGATTTATCATGTAAGCAAACTGTCCCCAGTTTGAGACAGGAGGAGACACACGAACCCAGGCTCAGGAGGACACAAGCTGGTGTATTCCCAGTGCTGGTCCCAAGTCTGAGAAATTCAGATGAGTGGGTAAGCAAGGGCATCTGGTGACCCTTTAACATAAGAGACCACATGAAAGCACCTAAATTCCTTTTAACTAAATAGTGCAAAATACTGATTCATGGTCTGTTGCTTAGTAAAAACTACAATTAATAAAAATGCAATAAGGACTGATAATCCTTTACCTTCCCTCCCTTTCCTCATGCAGGGTCACCTCCTCTTTTTGTAGAATGTCAAGTACCGCTTCAGTTTTATTCATGAGTTATTAGAGCTTCATTACACTTATTTTTAACTTATGTTTGACAAGTCATTCAATCCAAACGCTACAGTTATTTATAAAAGGAAATCTAGACTCCTGTAGGGTAGAACAGTGACATATTAACATTTAAAATATAAGAAAACAACTAACGTGTGCATGAGCACAAAATCCTTCCATCTCTCTTCATAATGTCTTCACATCATAATACTAATAATGACAGTGCTGTGTCTCGTTCTTTCTAATATATCACAACAGCCAGACTGGCTTGCTTCTTTAAATCTGTTCTTGATTTTTTTTTTTTTGAGACTATATAGAACATTTTATTATTTAATACAGTAAGTAACTGCGATTTTCAGGAATAAAATGAATGTTAACACTTCCACACTAACTATCCATAAGCCCATGTCCCATTTAAGATGAAGTATTCAGCCTTTTTCATACATACTGGTAAGCTGTGAGCCAATTTATGAATACTGCAAGAGTTTCATGTTAGGTTTATAAAAAAATAAACCACTTATAAGCATAAGCATAAGAATTAAAACTGAAGGCCGAAGAAAACTTGTGGGAGTTTTCTGTTCACCCCTTCTTTTCTTGAATAATGGTACGCTCCCTCCTTGCAATGGTCTGCACTGTGTTGCTGCGGTTGGTCTTTCCCTCTTGACGCGCAACGATTAGGAGGAGCGGAATGCTGGAAATACGTATGTAATATATGGCACCTCTGGGAGAACGAGAGTTTTGTCTGTTTGGAAACCAGCAGCCGGAATAAGTAACTGGATGTAAAAAGAAGAAAAAAAAACGAAGAAGAAGAAAAAGAAGAAATAAATATTCTGGATTTGCTTGTTTTGCTAAGGAAAGGGGGAAAAATATCTTGTACCTCTAATGTTCTGAAAAGCCTGAGACTGGGAAGACAAAGAAACAGGATCGGAGAAGTTTGCCTGCTTCACTGAAATGTAGACTCATCCTAAACAAGGATGGTGTGGCGGTAGTTGTATGGAGTTGGAACTGGGGGCATTTTTCGAAAGGATAAACGTGGGAAACGGTGTTAGAAAAACTTTCCTTTGTTCCCCACACCGCGGACGAATAACGAAGCAGGGGTCGCACGCTTGGATTGTTTTAAAAACGATTTCTTTACGCACGCTCTGCGCACACTGATTTCCAAACTCCAAGAGGCGCATGTTAAGCACGTTGTGCGATAGTGACTGCGGAGGCACGCGAGGGAGACTCCGAAAGTCCTGCGTGATGTTTTTACTTTTCCTCCTCGCGATCGTGCCGTCCGGTCACGGGTGCCCGGAGGAATGCTTGTGCTCCTCACAAACTGTGAAATGCCAAAACAAGGACTTGGACAAGATTCCGCATTTCATACCAAACAACACCAAAATTCTATTTGTGTCAGGAAACAGCATTTCCCGTATTAGTGGGGACTCCTTCCCAACCCGCCTGGAGCTATTAACAGATCTCCATCTCAGTGGGAATGAGCTGGAGTATGTGGATACGATGGCATTTAACAACTTGCCAAACCTTGTGTGGCTGGACTTGAGCAACAACACACTCCAGAATTTCAGTGAAAGCGCTTTCCCCAGTGACAATAAACTGCAGCACTTGAACCTCAGTAGGTCTTTGCACAATCACTCCACCACAGATGAGCTTCTAAATTTCCTGCGCAGCAGGAACCTCGTCCAGCTGACAGTCTTGGATCTGTCCAACAATGACCTTGTGATTCTTCCCAGCGATATATTCGCTGGTCTTTCCAGCCTGGACAGCCTCAGCCTGCAGAACAGCTCCATCATCAATATCCACAACGGGACTCTCAGAGTGCCCCCATTGCGTGACCTTGACCTGAGGGACAACAGCCTGAAATATCTGTCCAGCACCATGATGGCAGAGTTCAGCCTTAAGCCGGACCTCCGCATCCAGCTGGCAGGGAACCCCTGGCATTGCAACTGCTTTATTGAGGACACGCTGATGTGGCTGAAGAACTCCACTCAGGTCGTCGACGTCCAGAACCTGACCTGCACGAACCCCAAGGACCTGAGACGCCAGCCGCTTCTGCAGTTGGAGAAGTACGAGCTGAAGTGCTCGATGGAGATGAAGGGTGTGCTGGGGACTTCTTACGTGTTCCTGGGACTGGTGCTGGCCCTGATCGGCGTCATATTCCTGCTGGTGCTCTACCTGAACAGAAAGGGCATCAAACGGTGGATGTACAACATCCGGGATGCTTGTAGGGACCACATGGAGGGGTATCATTACAGGTATGAGATAAACTCTGACCCACGTTTGGCCAACCTGAGCATCAATTCAGATGTGTGAAGAGGGGGCGTACAGCGTGGCACCAGCCTGGGACCGTGCAGTGAGATAATAAATGACTTTATACTATTAAGATTTGCATGAAAGTCTTCCTCCCCCCTACCACATGATAATACTCAGACTTCGCACCTGTCGCCACTCCTTTTTACCCACCTCTTAGTGACTTCCACATCAGCCACTGCCGCATGTCCCGTACCAGTCACCTGGCAGCTGCGATGTCAGCAGCATTGTCTCTGTGTAACAGTGCATGGACAATGAGTCATGGCAAAGGGGTTTTCTGGACAGTTGCAAAAAGTGATATGTTCTATTTTTACTTTCCCCTAAAGGATAAACGAATGAAGGGAACTGACTTGTAACTAAAAGAATAGTTGGTGAAAACACTGCCAGTCGTTGCATCCTTCTCGTAAAGCCTCAGCTGCAGACAAATGTTACACTGCTTGAGTTTGTTTTTTAAACGTGAACATGTGTAATACAGTATGCCTTCTTTTGAATGATTATAGTGCACACTGCATTAGCTCTTCAGATTTATTAGGTGGATGTGATTGCTCTTTTTTTTTTTTCCTCCTGTGATGATATTGAGCTGAATAAAATGGCTCTGGATTGCTGGTATCTGTCTCAACTGAGGGCTTTTTAATTGTAAGACTGAGGAATGTGATCCCAAAGCTGTGATGAAGGAGTTCACGGGCACACACACACACACACACACTCTTACATTCCCGAGGCAGGGCCACAGCTCGGCTAAAAACCACATGACAAACACTAAATCTCACTCCAGCTGTCAGCGAGCTCAGCAATGTGTGAAACGTTTGCACTTTTGCCACTTATAGTATCTCCAGGGTAACAGTGTACGGCTGTGTTCTCATTAACAAGCAACTTTCTGTGGAAAGAAGTCAAATTCTGATGCTGAATAGAGGACACGTCCTGAATTCAAATGAGCTTCTGTCTGTGGGTTTAAAGGTGATGAGAGTAGCCCAACTGTTATCTCCGGTCCAATTTACTTCACGCTGTGTGTCTGATAAAGAACCACTGGCTCTGCTGCGACCCCTTCCCCTCCCAGAATAATGTCTGTGAGCCTGCACTGCAGCCAGAAGACTAATCTCACTACTAACAGCTCCTACCAGCGTTTACTGTAAGCATTTCAATATGCTCCAGCTGCAAAAACCCGGGAAAAAATCAGTGTTCGTGTCGCTCCATGGCACATGCAAATGAAGAAAAACCGAACCAGAGATGCTGGCGCTCATGGGGGCACACGGAGGTATTATGGAAATGAGCCCAAGCGGCTTTTCTTTTCATGTAACCCTTCTTTAGGGGAACTTGCATCCCTGGAAGTAAGTCATTAGTGTTTTTACTCATCTGTCAGTTGCTGTTGTATTGGGGGGGGTTATTTCTTTTTTTTCATGTTGTCCACTATAGTATGGATTAATAATTTAAAAATACGTGGTATTCCTTTGAAGGGATGCCATGCGTGTTGCCATCTAGCAGTACAAATTAATGATGTTTGTTGTGTCTGCATGCAGGAACAACTGTGAACTTCCTTGACCTTTAAAAAAGAAGAAATAACAGATAATAACAGATAATCATCTCCCTATTCCTCAGTTTCTTTAATGAAGGGGCTCACATTGCCCGCAGCATGCTATTTCCAGTGCATGCAGCGTGCCTCTTGCACAGATTTCCTTCACAGTTTTGCCAGGCATGCGTGTTTCTGCACATCTGTGTGTTTCAGGGTAGGGGGGGAAAAATAAGAGCTTTTGTCATCAGCTGCTGCTGCTGTAGTTGGGACTGTCTCTGGATGTGTTTGATTAGACTTCTTGGATATCAGAAAAGGAAGTCATGTGGAACGCTGTCTGTGTTATCTGGTGCTCCGGTTAGTGTTGATGCTTTGTGTGTCTCCTGCAGGCACGGCAAGTAGTGCTGTGTGATACTGCAAATTTTGGTATCAATGTGATACCAAGTAAATACGGGGCCAGCGCTGATGACATCAATACCAATACTTTTGACTTATTAAGGCTGCTTATGGAGGGGAGAGCAGTGTGTCATGATTTCTGAAATGAATCGTTATCAGTTTGCAAATTCTGAACACATTTCAGTGACCACTGAATCATTGCGATTTTTACTTTTCACAATAATAACACAACAAAACACACCTTTCAGCTTTGCAAAAAAAATAATGAATTTCATAGAATTCATAGAATAGGTTACATATTGAACTTGGTAGATAGAAACAAAGTGTCAATCCAGTCATGCTATTATCAATCTGATACCAATATCAGTGGCGTTATCTATACTATCGGTATCTTTAGCTTTGTGCGTACTATGTGGACCTCTTGCATCTCTCAAGAAATTGGTTCAAACAACAGCTTTGCCAGTTTTAGAGATGGGGAGGGTACTTTTGTGTGTAATGTGTGTGTCCTCTAATTCAACAATGTCACCTTTGATTTATACCTTCCTCATGCACGCTTTAGCGTTGAAATTTTAGCCCATTAAACAAGCCCTTACCCAACTGTGCATTCGAAATTGTTGCCGGCTGATTTTTGAAAACGGATGGTCTCATTCTACACGCACACGTTATTCCCCAAAGTGAGGCTTCTCACTTGGCCTTCCCAGGAGGGGCGTACAGGTGCAGGCTGCTTACAGCCTAATGTTTCCACAGAGACCATCAGTAAGTAGCTCTCCTCCTCGTACACTATCTGCAGATTCATATTAACAAGTGATTTTTGCCCAGCCACGCCTCAAGCTACGCTTGGCAGAGCAGGTGTAATTACAGTGAGAGAGAAAAGGGAGAGAATGAATGGCTGAAGGGGAAGCAGAATAAAATAGATGAGTGAGGGGAGGGCTTTCTTTTCTTTAAGCATGACGACACCGTCTCTGAACCCTTTGTGATCGTTAACTCTAGTCTCCAAGCAGCCTGGATGTCTAAATAGCTGGCCGCTGACTTGTGGTGTCAAGTGAGGTCCAGTGAGGAGGTGGTGTCTCGGGCAGCTCTCTGGACTCCCTCAGCAGTCTGTTAGGGCCGTCGGCTAAAGCTCATTTCCAGACAGGGGCAGGACTGATGGTTGTACTTGTTAGTAAACAGATACTGTTACAGATATTGGCACCAGAGGCTCAACTGGTACATATATTGCCTACTTGTTGCCTCTTGTATGAATACTTACCCACAAAGGTTTCTACTCAAACCTCTGTATGTGCTTGAGAGGTCATTTTTTAAATTAATATAAATTCTTTGTTATAAATGAGTGCTTTTCATGTTTAAGAACACATATATAAGAAACTATGTCTTTTTATAATTTGGTACTGTACAGATTGTATTTATGGTAAGTTAATATGTTTAATTATGTTCAATATGCTTAATTACTATGACCTGCCCTTTAAAATGTGGTTTTCTTGTAGTTCCTTTCTACACAAGTGTCCATATTTATGTTATGTTACACAAATACAAATTTTGGTTGACAAATCAGGTAAACGTCTTCCCTAGAGACACATCTTCTAGGCCCAGGTCATATTTGTTATAAAAACCATGGAGTATGTTTTATTTCTTTTTTAAAAATCTCCCTAGAATGGCACATGACCCAAATATAATAGAGAAAAAAACCCAAAAATCAGACAACCCCCTATGAGCAAGCACTTGGCAACAGTGGGAAGGAAAAACTCCCCTTTAACAGGAAGAAATCTCCAACAGAATCAGGGTGAGGAGAGAAAGACAGGACAAAAACAATGTGGAAGAGAGGTAGAAAATCATAACTAATTGTTAAATGCAGAGTGGTGTATAAACACACAGAAAGTGAAACGATGTGAGTGAAGAACAAGTGCATCATGGAAAGCCCCCAGCAGCCTAGGCCTGCCAATGTGATTAAGGGATGTTTCGAGTTCACCAAGAGTGTTAACTTGCAATTTCCTAAATGTTAGTAAGTTGGGGATTGTTACTAGCAAATAGAAAACTGAATGGTAACACTCACCTACCTCCTAAGTTATGACCTCATAAACTACAAAAAATGTCTTTTAATGTAAATAAGTTTCATTTGAGAACATTTAATAAACCATAAATTTACAAACCTGATAACGAACAGCCTCAGATGTTTTTTTAAGTGTTTTCCTGTGAGCAGGAAGTGGAAGTTTAAGTGGGATTAAATAAATGTGCAAAAGTAGAGACTTTATCCCATAATTAAACATGCAAAAATTATCTGTATGTAATTTCTCTGATAGCTCCAATTGCTTAGCAAGCTTTTTAAAGCATTAAAAGGGAATGTTGGTACCCTGCTCTCGAAGACCCCCACTTTATTCGGCCAACACGCAGCTGAAGCCACATCTTAGCATTCAGCAAGACACAGAGCCAGTATCACAGCTGATAATGAAGATCAAGACTGCAGTTGATTATGTAACAGTCATCTTACCTGTCACAGTGCTCACAGGAGACTTTTGTTCCCTGACTTTTGCTGTTAAGGTAGTGCATCCTTCTAGACAACAGACTTGCCTCCCAGGGGGCAAACCCAGCCTTGTGCATAAACCTGAGGAAGAAAAGTACCTCCCTTGTTACTGTCAGCCATTCCCATAACCTGGGTGTACACAGTATAGCCTCCTAGCAAAGAGAAACTGAAGTTGCAATGCATTCGTTTTTATATATCAGAAGGTCTGAAATTTGTCAGTGTTTTGAGAACTGAATAATAAAACACCTACAGATGAAAACTCCTGAAAACCCGACAGAACACTTACCCCATTATACTGCCCACACACACACACACACACACACTGTTCCCTGTTTGTTAAGCCACATTTAATATGCCAGTGCACTTTCCTACTGTTGAGAGACAGGCTGGCAGGTTATCAGATTGCCAGAGTGCCGTAATTACATTCACCACACTGCACTGGTCTGCTGCTCCGCAAACACCTGGCACGTTGCCCCAGCTGCTGACCTTTCCCTTAGTAAAAAAAAGAAAAAATCAGACTATGTAAATGGCGGTTGTGAGTGTGGGGGCATGCTTTGTAGATAACAATTTTAAACAAAGCAACACGAGGTACAGAAATCGCCAACACTGATCCTCATCCTTAAAGGTTGTGTAACAGCTTTTATGAGGTCTTTACGCGTACGTTGGGGGCATTGCTGGTCCTGGAGTATTTGTTATCGGCCCAGTCTCTTTCCTTCCCCCTTACAATGCCTTGTCCTTCTCTAATGTGGATTTATAATGCCACGCTTGAGCCTCCCGCTGAGCCACACCAGGGCTTGACGACCACAAGCCTCCGTAAACGAAGACGGATCTGAGCTGGCAGTGCCGCGGCCTTTTCCAGCAACCGGAAGCATCTGCCACATCTGCTTGAGGGACAGAAATGCAGGGATGAGTGAGAAAAGGACACAAATGCTGTGAAGCTATCTCCAAGAAAAATAAATATAAAAGCTGGAACTCAGTAGGATGCTTGTAAGATGCTAAAATGCATATTTGCAGTGACCTTTATGTGTAGATTAGCTGGGGTTATGTCATATGTCACTGGGTTTTTGGGTTTGTTTTTTTAAAGAAGCTTGGGTAACAGCATGATGGTTGTAAAATGTTAATAATATTCTAGCCTTTCCTGTGACCTTTGTCTGTTTGGATGATAGATTTGATCTTCAATAGGTTTTTCATAGAACATCAAAAATTCACATCAGAAAGCTCTTGATATTCAACAAACTGGGCCAAGAACATTTGATTTTTATTGCACCCTGGTAGATCATATGCTCCTGTGTTTTTTCAAGTGCTTTTTGTGGAAATTCTGCAGATAAACATGGTTTAGATGCCCCATGAGTAACCCTGGTTGCCTGGCTGTATTATTTCACATTTCAGTTTGATGAAGCTCACACCTCTGACGAGTCTACTGCAGGAATATCTTGACGTAAAAGTACTTCAGTGTTACCACCGCGGCTACGAAAACAGACTGATCCACGCACCGAACGCCTCCCGTGTAAAGATTTATTTAGCTGTGCAACTCTTTCTCACTCCGCTGAAAATTACCTGTGCGCCTAACAATCTATCAGGCACACGTGGCTGATTCTCGTGTTGATTTCTCAGCGCTCAATAACATGGCTGATCAATGGGCCGGTCTCAAAAGGAGCCCCGTGTTTTTCCATCAATATGTTTTCTGTGAACTCAGACTTGAAAGCTGCTCCGATTCTAGCAATGTCGGTAACTCAAAGGCAGCCTTTCCGACACTTAAAGAAACCCCACCAGAAGCTGATTAATGTATGGCCTCAACCAAGTGCTTGAAAGTGACATGTTGGAGTGTTTTCACACTAATTTGTTTCTTGAATGAAGTGGTAGCAGGCAGATGTGTTTAAAAGGGCTTAAAGTGGGCCTGTTATGCTAATTTAAAGCTCCATATTTTTATTGCAGGGCTCAAGAAGAGTAGCTTTGCATGATTCACTCATTCCAAATACACCTTTGTTTATCTTGAACCCCTCAGTTCACCCACTGTCTGAAATAAGCTCCTCTCCCTTCAAACTGACTGTCTTCTGATTTCCTGCCCCTCTCAAACAAAAGGTTTCAGCAGAATGTGGGCGCATCGTGACCATCTATTATCACAGTTTCCCTGTTATTAAAAAGAGAAGTAAGAGTTCTCAAAAAAATCACAAACTTTTCAGATCAGGTGTCAGAATGGTGTCTAGGAAGAGTTATTAATGATCAAGAGACAATAGGACAACATATTGAGACATGTTGATGTTTTTATTTAAAACGAAATGAAGGGATTGTAAAATGAGTCTCATGATGACTTCACAGAGGGTCTGCCCTCAGGTGGTGCCACATTACTGAAGTTTAATGATAATCCAGTTCTACATAGAGTAATACTGACAATTCTTTCTTATTTAGCTGCCATGAATTACTCTTTGATTCTCACCCACAGTGACAACGAGGTAGAAATAAAGGGATTTAAATTACCGTAGGAAGTGTTACCACCTGATTGGTAGTCTGGAAACCTGATCTGGACCAGGTAACACCCTTACACCTTTAGCCCTGAGCTCATGGAAACATGTTGCTCTACAGTCCACTTATACAAACAACATGTTTACACTGACTCACAATCAGGGCCTCACAGCTCCGAGTTGCTGTTGAAAGCATTAGGTGAAGCTGTATGAGCACAGTCTTGGCAAATAATGTGTGTTTTATAAATGTATTGTAGCGATTTACAGAAATGCATGCCAGCTTTTTTTTTGTACTGTGATGTTTGAGATATTGTGTTCATAGATGGAGTTAAAATGACGAATGTAAAATGTAGTTTGAGTTTGAAGTGAAATTTTGTGATTATACAATTAAAATCAGATTTTGACATCAGAGCTCTGGTTCAGTGTGGGATTATTTACCTTTTCTGCCATCTGGTGACTTTCACTCCTGTGGAGAATTTCAAGTGCATTCCTGTTCCTGACGATGAGACTCAAATCTCATTACAGAGAAAGCAGTCTGGAACTTTAGATCTTATCATGTAATCTAAACACAACTGTAAAAGTTCATGCTTTTTTTCTCAGATTACAATCAGATTTCCTGGCAGAGACTGAAAGGAGGTCAAAAGTCCAATATTACCTTTTTAGGCAGCAGTTGGAAACAATAATCTCTACAAGCTCCATTACAGTGGTTTCAGTCACAGCATGCTATCAGCTTTTAAGCCGGGACTTCTCGTTTCTACATGGACAAACTCCAACCACGTACACAAACGCAGTTAGGCAGAAAAATAAAGATTAAAACGAAACACATTCACAATCTAATCTAAAGCAATATTTCCCTAATGTGCAAATACAGCACAACCTTTCTGAGGCACATTTGTGCTGTATGGTAAAGTGGTTCTTATGAAATCTTAGCTACAGTATGTACCATCTCAGAGCAAGAAATGAATCAAATTTAGAGAAGACCAGGAAAAATAGGGGATTGTTAGATGGAAAGTCATCTTTTTTTCTTCTTGTCTTTGTGCAGTTTCCAGTTTTGCAGTGGGGGGTGGGACTGAAGACAACAGGAGTGGAAAACAAATGCAAGCTCAGAATTGTTTGTTATGCTGGGCTGAACACGTAACACCTCAGGAGGTAAAATGTGAAAAGGTTTTGATTGCATAGTGTGTGCATTTTCTCACATAAGGTGATCAATTGCTAATCAACCAGAATGTCAAACCAAAGTTGCGAAGCAAAACTTTAAAAAGTTTTGCAAGACACGAGAAGGATTTGCTGAGGAAAGAAGCACTGAAACTATCGTGATGATGCATTTAATTTGGCTTTTTGGTGCTTGTTTTGCGAGGCCACGTGTTCAACACGGAACAATATTAAACGTTTTGTAATATGATGTAGACTAGCAGAGGGTGTCACAATGAGTAATGACCTCAGCAGAACAGTAGCAAGCAACGGGAGCAGAGACAGCCAGAAGGAGCTTGATCACCCCATCCAGCACTGCTTTTACAAGGTCATGTGGTGCAAAACCCCCATTTAAAAACATGTACATTTCTTTCCGTATCCAAATTAGAGTGCTCAGCAGGCCTTGAAGAATCAGTATAACAAGGTCCACACAGAATATGAAAACTGTGTTCCAGCCATTAATCTGCTGGTACAAGAGGTGCTAAAGTGGATGCTGTGTCAACTCCTCCAGCTACAGCACTTAGAGAAGAAACAAGAATTTATGCTGCCTAAAACTGTCTTCTTTTTCATGGGTCTTTACACATGGCAGCCACATCGGATTAACTTGCACTTCTCTGCTCATTTTATGCTTGGTTTAAAAATACATGCTCTTCCTGTTTTCGATAATGTAAAAGCTGATCTTACACAATATTTCTGGCCGCCCAAGGCGAGTCTTACACAGGATCAATTGCAAAACATCACAAAAACATCACAGAGGAGAACCTGTGCATTATGGTCGCTGGATTATCACCCGTATTAAACTGTGTGCAGTGTGTAATACGGTTTTAGTATTTAGTAAGTTTAAAATTGATTGCGAGTTTGGAGTTAAATTTGTTCAAACTAGTTGCTGACCATTGCTACCATCTAAAATCACTGCTGCAAATATTGTATATGCTACTGCTGCTGCTACTTTTTAACTACAGCAAATACAGGGGAATGGCTATATTAAAGATATAACATGTATAAAAGGGATAAAGATGCATTAAAATGAATAGATTTGTGTTTTCGATAATTTGGTGACTTTTGTACTTACATTATACTGCATATCTGCAAGAATTCCTAAACTTATATGTTAAGTTGGACTGTTTGAACACAGTGATAATTGGATTTCAACCGAGTTACGTTAAAAGTTATTATTTTATTTCCTAATGTAGAGGAAATAAGTGCCAGTCTTGTTGCTTGTGGCCACACATAAACAAAGCATGGGACTGTAATAGTTAAATTACATAATAATGCATATCCACAACACATATATTTTATTTTTGTGACCCAATTGATAAAGTTCTCTAAGGTTATTTTTTACCTGATTCAAAAGTTATTGTATAATTTTGACCAAACTGGTGTCTGAACATGAAACTGAACATTTTTATATCTAATGTGATGCATTTTTACAAAGAAAAAATTAACCTTGTCCAACAAAAGTAATGTTTGGACATCCAATAGTTTAGCAAGTGTATTCAGGAATACTTTACCCCCATACACATCACTATGAGTGCTGCATGAGTACTATCATCTATGATGCTGATATTAAAATAAAGGTGCTTCCAAGGAACTGTCCATGAAAAAACCATATATTTCATGTTACTTTTAGACACCATTTTGAAAATTACAGTTTTTATAGCAGCATTCGGCTATAACTTGGACTTTTTCCTGCACTTTGTCAGTTTTAGTGCCCCACACCTTGTTAACATTTCATACATGTGCATATTCAAGACATCAAGCGAAGCCTTTTCTCTCAGCAGCTTCAGTGCACGTGGAAATACTTACATTCACATTTCTCCTGTTACAATCTCTGCCCCCAGTTGTCAAGTGTGCCGTTCCGCCCCTTTGCACACCATCTTGTCATTTTCTATTCTCTGTATGAAATGAGACGAGTCTCCACGCCAGAAAGGTCTGACAGCAGCACTTGAGAATAATGAAACAGGCTTCAGATAGAGCCACAGACAGCCCCCACCCCGCCCGACAGATGACATGCAGCATTCTTAAAGTGCTGTGTAACACGAGCTTCATATGTAGACATCAGATAGTACTTGACGATGCCTACATTACCATTCACAAGCCAACGCTTTGGGCAAGCTAGATCTCTCCGGTTACCCTTCTGTACACAAGCCAATCTCAGATGAGAAGGATAGAAACTCAATTAGCTTTTGTAAAGTGCTGA